ATACTGCACGGTTTAAAATAAGGAAGGGTGTGCATCAGGGTTGTATCCTTTCACCATACTTATTCAAACTGTATGCTGAGCAAATAATCCAAGACCATGGACTATATGAAGAAGAACGTGACATCAGGATTAGGTGAAGACTCATTAACAACGTGCAATATGCAGATGATACAACACTGTTTGCTGAGAATGAAGAAGACTCTAAACACTTACTGATGAAAATCAAAGACTGCAGTCTTTAGTATGGATTACGCCTCAACATAAAGAAAGCAAAAATCCTCACAACTGGATCAATAAGCATCATGATAAATGGAGAAATGATTGAAGTTGTCAGGGATTTCATTTTACTTTGATCCACAATCAACACTCATGAAAGCACCAGTGAGGAAATCAGACGTCATACTACACTGTGCAAATCTGCTGCAAAGACCTCTTTAATGCATTAAGGAGCAAAGAAACCACTTGAAAGAAAGACTAAGGTGCGCCTAACCCAAGCCATGGTATTTTCAATTGCCTCATATACATGTGAAAGCTGGACAATGTATAAGGAAGACTGAAGAAGAGTTTATGCCTTTGGATTCTGGTGTTGGTAAAGAATGATGAAAATACCACAGCTGCAAGAAGAATGAACAAATCTGTCCTAGAAGAAGTGCAGCCAGAATGTTTCTAAGAATCAAGAATGGCCAGAATTTGTCTCTCATACTTTGGTCATGTTGTCAGAGGGACCAACTCCTGGACAGGGATATCATGCTTAGTCAGTGAAAAAAGGGAAGACCCTCAATAAGATGGATTAACACTACAGCAGCAATGATGGGCTCAAGCATAGCAAGCACTGTTGAGGATGGCTCAGGACCAGGCAATACATTGTATACAGGGTCACTAAGAGTCGGAGCTGACTCGATGGCATCAACAACTACAATTTTTTGGAAGTAGAATGTTAAAGCCTTTCTTCCTAGTCTGTCTTAGTTTGGAAGCTCCACTGAAGTCTGTTCAGCATCATAGCAATATGTAAGCCTCCACTGACAGATGGGTAGTGGCTTCATTTGAGGTGCATCAACCAAGAATCAAATTCACATCTCCTCCATGAAAGGTGAGAATTCTACCAGTAAACCATCACTGATTCCTTTGTTAATAATAATGTACCATGCCTAAAGCATTTGACTGCTAACCAGAAGGCTGGCAGTTCAAACCCACGAACCACTCCTTGGACGGAAGATTGGGCAATCTACTTCCATAGTGATACTGCCTCAGAAACCCAAGGAGGGGTTGCTATGAGTTGGATCTGCCTCAACGGCAATGAGTTTTTTTGTACTGGCTCATTAAGGAGCTCTGGTGATTGGCTCATTAATCATACAATACAATGAAAGTGTTAATAGGGGAAAATGTAAATATATGCTGAAATTTTCTGTAAATCTAAAACTATTCTAAAAAGTAAAGTCTATTAATAAAAAACAAATCTCCCAGTCAAAGAAAACCTATTATGTGTTACCAATACTATTCAAGACCAAAGACTCATTCAAATTCAAGATTGAGTTAAGTTTTGAAATTTCTGCAATTAGTTTTGCCATCTGAATATTATTTAATCATTCAAATAATCTCAATTGAAGAAAATCACCAAAGACAAGACCACACAGTCAGAGACTCTCTGGAACAGACTGATATAAAGACAGATCTACTGTTCAAAGGATTTTCATGATTTTCACAGGGGCCACTAATTTACAAACCAAAGAAAAGGCTTTGATTTGGAGTACATCATTTGTTGAATTCAGAGCTAATTAAGCCAGAAATGAAATTTGACTTTTGAGAAAATTTTCTAATTTCCCAAGGCAACCCACTGATCCAAGGCCATGAAGTCAATTCCAAATCATAGCACTCTTACAGGAAAAAGCAGAACTGCCCCAATGGGTTTCCAAGGCTATAAATCTTTATGAAGCAGACTGTCTCATCTTTCTCCTGCAGAGCAACTTGGTGGGTTCAAACCGCAACCTTCTGATAGGCAGCCGAATGCTTTAACTACTGTGTCACCAGAGCTCCTTTCCCCAGGCAAGACGGGCTGTTTTCAATTGCAGAATGCTTGGGGGTTTGTTGAGAAGACGCTGCTGTTATGACTACTTTAAACAAACAAAATAAAAAAGTCAATCCACTGCACCTTGCTTTATTCTATGGAATGACTGAGTAGTTCTACAGGAGAAGGAAGGAGTAATTAATATTTATTATCCATGCTAAAGGACAGTAGAGGTAAGGTGGGTGATATTGATAGTAACTAAATTCCACCGATAACAGTCATATTTCATTTTAGCCAATTGTTTTGACTTGCTTTTCAACTAATCTTTTCTTCAGAATAAATGGCAAAACTTGGTAACTTGATGGTTATGTTTGGCCTTAATTTCTACTCTGTATGAAAGTTGAGTGAACAATAAAATTGACTAATAGGTTAACCAGTTGTGGTAGTTAAGTTTGTGTGTCAACATGGCTAGGCCTGGTCGAGTAGATGGGCAGATGGATGTAGTAGTATTCCCCATGATAAGACTGGTAATGAACTCCATGGTGGAATCTACTGTGAGCAGCTGACTAGCTGCCTTAGGGATGTGGTCTGCTTCCAGTATATTAAGAAGAAGCCTTGGGGAATGGTGTCTAGCTTATGGCACGCTTGAACTCTGCATGTAGCCATGTCGTTGTTCAGCAGCCTGCGAAGCTCTGCCGATACTGGGACTTTCAATGGACTTGAATTAATGGTCTGCTGTGTGGTTTGGTAACACTGGGACTGTGCCTTTTTACTTGTCAACCTTGGGCTTGTCAGTCTCTGCAGGCAGCAGCTGTCTGAGTAAAGAAAACCCTCTAGCTTCAGTGGGCCAGGAGCTGGAGGCAGAGCTGAAGCCCAAGGTTGAGGGGCTTTCACCCAGCCCCTAGAGCCTAACACTCTGAACTTGGACTTAAAGCCTCCAAACTGTGAGAGAATAAACTCCTGTTTGTTCAAGCATCCTGTTTGTGGTATTTTTCTGTTAGAAAAGCACAGAGGTAACCAAAACACCAGTAAAAAGGAGAAAAAAGGAATTTAGATGTTTGTTTCTATAGGTTCTTAAATATGAAAGAGTTGGTATTGATACCATGACTTTAATACTGAAAATCATAAATAAGGGAAAATCCAAAAGTCTCACATTGATTAATGGTAGGACTGGTAAACAGGAAGCAAAGAAGAGAATAATGTTTAAATTTAAAGGAAAAAGAGAAAGAAAACAAGCAGGAGGAATAACCCTGTGTCAGGTAACAGTACTGCATTCATGCTCTGGAGTCAGACTGCCCCAGTAAGTTCTGACTTATTATTTACTAACTTTGTAACCTTGGGCAAGTTACTTAACTTCTCTGTGCCTCAGGTTCCCCACCTATAAAATAAGGTTAATAACAGTACTTCCCTCACAGGGTTGTTGTGAAATTTACGTAAGTAAATCTACTTATTGCTTAGAACAATGTCAGGTATATAGTAAATACTTCATAATCACCAGCAATTACCATATTAACAAAATAACCTATCAAAATAGAAAAATATACTAGCATATAACAAGTTAGGATAGTGGTTAATGACATTGAAGGGACATTTTCTTGACCCTTTTAAAGCAATAGCTTCTAAAAGACCCTAAAAGAGGTGGTTCCTCTCTTGCTTTACAGGGAAGGAGTTTTGCTATCACCCTCCTCAAATGACAGGAGTGGAGGTTCCATAGCTCTGCAGAGGGTTATTAAAGAAGGGAGCCTCTTGCTCTTCTCTCACTACCTGGCTGTGATTATCACGCCTGTATCTCTTTAGAAGGAACTTGGCTACTAGATTTGCCTGTAGTTCTGTAGTTGGATCCAAAAGGCCTATCAATGTAGAGAAACATTTATAAAGATGAAAGAAGGGGTGGAAAAAAAGTCAGACAAAGTTAAGTCACACTCTTAAGCTTTCCCCTCCTGTTTTTCTCCCTGTTTTTTTAGGGAAAAAGAAGGGACAGATAAAGAAGGAAAAATAATTGAGAGACTTGATAAAAATAGGAGATACATAGCTCAGAGTAAGGTTTATGAACACAGTGACCGGTTCTGCTTCACTGGACCAAGTAGATGTTGTCCTCATCATTTAACTGAAATTAGTTGAAACTGAAAACCAAAATATTTTGCTTAGTCTCATCTACATCAATTTTTTCCCCATCACAAAGTTCGTATCTTAAGAGTATCTCAGACAGGTTTTTGCTACTCCACCCTCATCCCTGTAACATCCATTGTACAAGGAATAAAACTTAAAAGCTAGGAGAAAACAAACAGAGGAAAAGTCAGGTACTCAGACATTAATAGCCAATTTAAGAAACAAAACGCTGCATTGGATTAGGGGGTCAGGGAGGGGAGATGAGGTTAATTCCCCATTGCCTTTTGAATTTCTTCGCCTTTTTTTTCCTAACAGTCCTGTCATAATTTTAACTCAAGAAGACAGAGATATTTAGAATTCAAGCTTTAATGTTCTATTTTCATCATAAAACAGAAACAAGACAGCTTTTTTTTTTTTTTTTTTTTAAGTAGACAGAAGTCATCAAGAAGACAAAAAAAAGAGGAAGTATATGGGGTGAGGGTATAACAAAGCTGTAGCAGCACAGATCTCACAAAGCAGCATACTCTCACATACCACTTCGAGAATTTGGATTTCACATAAGAGAAGTTATAGAGTTTTCTGCTCATTAACAGTGTTACCAAGAACACACTAGCGCAAAATCAGAGAAATTTTTAGGACATTAACATGCAAAAGGTAAGGCTTCAATTCTACTAAGCAGCTCTCATTCTAAGAGCTAAACTACTTAGGAACCACACTCCTTGGCTCTGGTTTGCAGAACACAAAAGGCATGCACAAATGCAAATCTCACCCCGTTTTGTTTTAGAAGAAAGAGTTCCTGTATTACCCAATTTGTTTGGAGATACAGGTAGATTTTAAAAAATAAATAATAATAAAAAAAAAAAAACACACAACCATGCCTATTTACCTTGAATGGAATAAGAATAATGTGCAGGGCTTGGCTGGCTTGTGGTTAACCCTGTAGTGCAGGTAAGAACACTGTGTTGACTTGGAGATGGAGTCTGAATTAAACCACTTTCAGATTTCATACCTGGCCACAATGCACCTGAATCAGATAAATTGGACCAATTACAAACAATACATGGGGACTGAAGAGCATGGTTATGCTTGCAAATATCAGTCAGTAGGTTTAAAATCTAAACTTAAAAATAAATTTGCTTGTAAGAGAAAATAATTGATTCTCCCACTTGTAATATACCACAAGCAAATACATTTTCAAAGAATTGGGGAGTGGAGCCATAGAAACGAAAATCTTGCCAAAAACACCAACAGTGGTTTTTATATACGCTTCTTTCAGTGGTTGGGAGAAAATGACCAGGGTTCAGAGAATGAGCTACTAACACCCAACTGGAGCATATGTCATAAAGAGCACCTGACAGTCATGTACAGTGATAAATCATTTATGCAGCATGTCAAGGTGAGAGACATTCCACATAAGTTTAAAATTCACTTACCCATTAAACAAGCACCAAACTTTCTAAAATATATTGAATATTTCTCTTCCTTCTTAAGCTGCTTAATCTTTGTTTCTGCCAATTAGGAAAGAAATACCTGCTTACTTTTATAAATTAAAACCATTACAGAAATTTGTATAGAAAAATTAAAGCTATGTATAGTCCCATCATCCAAACTTAGCCACTATTAACAGCTTGGAGAAGAGTCTCTACATCTTTTCTACATTTTTACTAAATTTTTTCTGCTTTCTTTTTTTTCTAAAAAAATAAAAATGGGATTTTATACATATTTATTATTCATAACTTGCTTTTTCCACATCTGAGAGACATCTTTCTATGTTGGAACATAAAAATCCATTCCCCTTTGTTAAACAGCTGCATAGCATTCAATGATAAATTATGCTACATCCCATCTCTTACTGATAGATATCATGGCTGTTCACTTTTATTTTACTGTATTTTTATCACAACGCTCCTGAGTAACAATCTTCCTAACATATACAAATATCCTTTCCGGCCCTCCTAAACAGAGAGGAAAGAGTAAACATAGCTTTACGTTTTCAGAATTACTGTTATAAAGATCAATACTGGGCTATAGTACAGATATTACAGAGGTACTCCAGATGCTATCAGGATATGGGAAGATATCCAAATTAGCCCTAAAAAGAATTAAAGTATAGTTTTTTGATTTTTAAGTAAAGTTTATGACACTTTGTCTTTTCCCTGTGATCTGTTACTTCTTCACAATCTCATGTTTCTGGCATATCTTTTTAATTTGTAGTAAACTAGAAAATCATAAGAAAAGCTTGCTGAAATTGAGTTAAGATGAGCCTAAATTGCTTCTGTATGAGCCAAATGATGCATAGTTTCTGTGATAATTTTACCTATGGAAAAATCTATTTTCAAAAAAATTAAAAAAAAAAACCAAAAAAACAACAAAAAAAAAACACTTAATGCTCAGTTATTCACTGTATTCTGAAGTTATTGCTGCCAGATCAATGTAATTGAACCTGAAACGTAGGTCCAAAAAGTTTCATCAAACACAATTCAAGGGCAGCCACGGCTTCAAATTCAACATTAACTTATTTAATTTACTTCTAATCTGATGAATTTAGTCAATTAATAATATATAAAATAAGAAATGCAATGCTTTAATGATAAAGACTTCATCTTCACTGGGGCACTGAGATACTTCCGTGTAACTCAGATAGGTCAAATCTGTTGATAAATGAATATAAGAATAGTAAAGGGAGAGGTGAAAATCTTAAATGGTCAGCAATGAGACGTAATAATTGCTTTGCCCCAAACCACAAAGGCATACAAAAAGTATTTTTTTTATGATCTATTAACCATATAAAAAATTCACTGCTATCAAGTCGATTCCAACTCATGGCAACCCTCACTGGGATTCCAAGGTGGTAAATCTATGGAGGCAGATTACCCAGTCTTCCTTCCAGAGTGGCTGGTGGGTCTGAACTGCCAACCTTCTGGTTAGCAGTCAAATAAATGCTCTATGTAACGTGCCATCAGCGCTCCTTATTAACCATAGAGTAATGACTGAGGAATATTAACATCTCTACCATGACTGAAGGAGTCTTCAGGTGGTACAAACGTTTAAGTGCTCAGCTTCTAACCACAACACTGCTGGTTTGAATACACCCAGAGGCATCTCAGAGGAAAAGAACAGACTCACTGAAAACCCAAAGAAGCACAGTTCTACTCCGATACACATGAAGTCCCCTCAAGTTGGAATCAACTTGATGACAATTGTTTTTTTGTTTACATAATTAATTAGGAAATTGTTCCTATAATGGTATCTAAGAATGTTATTTTCTAAAACATATACAGTGAAAACTATGAGAGCCAGAACTCAATGGGACTGCCCTGTTTTTCTGAGTCTCACAAGTTTTTTGCCTTTGAGAGGGTACAGCCTTACTACTTTACTATCACACTCTATTAATAGAAATATTTGAGTTGTCCTGCTCTGACAGGTTCTGCCTTATACACGTTCTGGCATTTGCAAGTTTTACTGTATGATGTGAAATCTATTGTAATGCATTTGTTTTTCCAAATAGGTTCTGAACCTAAGGTGTTGGATTTGTGAACATGTTTATTATTACACTGCTACTAAAATGTTACCTTATTAATAAAAACAGTATCTACTGAGACGCTTTACTAGCCTTGTTATGTAAAATATTTTTTAAAGTTTTAAAATGTAAACTGTATGCATAAGTTGGTTGCTCTTTTAAGGTCAACATTTAGGGCACATATGCCCAAGACAAATAGAGGAATAGATAGTTTTGAATGTCTATGACATTTAATATAAAATAATTTTATAATAGAAGAATAAATGACAATATGGACATTGCTTTCAGCATGATTGTTGTTGTTGTTAAGTGCCGTCGAGTCGTTTCCGACTCATAGCGACCCCATGCACAGCAGAACGAAACACTGCCCGATCCCGCACCAGCCCCACAATCCCTGCTATACTCGAGCCCATCATCGCAGCCACTGTATCAATCCATCTCGTTGAAGGCCTCCCCCTCTTTCGTCGACCCTCCACCCTACCAAGCATGACATCCTTCTCCAGGGAATGGTCCCTTCTTACAACATGACCAAAATAGGTGAGACGAAGTCTGGCCATTCTTGCTTCCAAGGAGCATTCTGGCTGCACTTCCTCCAGGACAGATCTGTTAGTTCTTTTAGCAGTCCATGGTACTTTCAGCATTCTTCGCCAGCACCACAACTCAAAAGCATCAACTCTTCTTCGGTCTTCCCTATTCATTGTCCAGCTCTCACATGCATACAAGGTGATTGGAAATATCATGGCTTGTGTCAGGCGCACCTTAGTCCTCAAGGAGATATCCTTGCTCCTCAGCACTTGAAACAGTTCCTTTGCAGTTGACTTTCCCAATGCTACACGACATCTAATGTCCTGACTGCTGCTTCCGTTGGCATCCCTACTCTTTAAGGATATAAATATCGTCCGCTAAAATCATCTTTCCCAGAATTCCAGGTAATAGTTAGCATGACCAAATGATTTGACTGTATAGCACTCCTGTTCATAGCAAATAAGGAATGAATCCCAGTTTCCTGACTCCTAGCTCACTGCTCTTTGCCCACAACAACAAAGCTTCTCAAGTACTTTTAAGCACTAAGAACATGCTGTGGAGCAACAGCTGCTCTAACAATGGGAAAGGAAGTGTGACTGTAAGTGGTAATCCTCCTGTGGCCCACACTAGGTCTTACCATAAACTCTCCCAAGGTTCTCAACATGAAATACTTCATTCATCTGAGCAGGTCACATTAGAGTAATACTATCAGGGTAGTGGATCTTTAGAGAAGACAAGGTTGGTTAGGAATTGAAGTATACCTCAATGCTAGAAAAAAGCTGATGAAAGAGTATTTTGGCTTGCTAATTTAACAGATGATTGGGATTAAAAAGTGATACATTACTAAGTAATTTAATCTGATTAATTCTGATTATAAAAGAAATGGATGTATATTACAGAAAATTAGAAAATTCAGGAAGTCTAAAGAAAAAAATCCCATTGTCTCATCACACAGAAACAAAACACAGGCAGTCCTTGCTTTTCCATGTGTTAACTGAAACCCGTGAATAAGGAAGCGAGATCCTTGTTTTACAAGGTTCTGTAGTATGTGAGATCAAATCTGTACTGTTAACGTTCACATTTTTTCCTTTCAAATTATTCTGTATGCACATTTTTCAAAATACTAAATCAAGAGTAGATTTTACTTTCCGTTTTTATATACTGCTTTTTTTTCCAATTAGTAATACACTGAGTATATTCTAGTCTCAAGATCCTAATCTAAGTATCCTTCAAGAATATGACTTAAAATAGTTTTTCATTCTATGGGTACACTGCAATTGAACATATACTTTGCTTGCTGAATAACATACCAAGGTTGTTTCTAATTTTTGCTATTATAAGTAATGCTGCAGTATCAAAATTTCAATTAAATTTTTGAGAGTGTTTCTAATTAGTACCACAGAATAAATTCCTGTAAGTAAAATTACTAAGGGAAATGGTATAAACATCTATAAGCTCTTGACACATGACAAATCTTCATCTCATGCTCAAGTTCTTTCAAACTAATTTAGAACAGTAATGACTAAGAGCATATTTTATGAACCATTAAAAATAAATGACTACACTTTTCCATCTATAATTCCTTCAGATAACTGGAAGTGAACCTCCAATTCACTTGCTGCCACCCTACCCTGTTTCTATATCGCTTTGAAAGGAATATGGACACTATTCCCCTATTTTTAAAGACAGCCTTCCTAGATTTATTCTAGTCTTTTACCTACTTTTTTTTCCAATGCATTTTATTGGAATATAATTTATGTACAGTGAAATACACAACTAAAGCGACATAGGTCAATGTTTTTTTTTTTTTGTTTGTTTTGTTTTTTTTTTGCAGTGTTTGCTCCCCTCCTCTCCAACCCATGGTAACCAACAAAAAAAGTTCCCTTCCATATATAAACCTTTCCTTGACTTTTTACAATAATGAACTAATACTATATTTGTCCATCTATGATTGACTTCTTTCATTCAGCATAATGTCT